GTGTGTGTGTGTGTGTGTGAGAGAGAGAGAGAGTGTGTGTGTGTGTGTGTGAGAGAGAGAGAGAGTGTGTGTGTGTGTGTGTGAGAGAGAGAGGGAGTGTGTGGTTTGTCTCCATTGTGTTGCATGTTTGTTTTGTCAGTGAATTTCCTCTGTGGCTGTTAGTGGTGCATGTAATTGTAATTAGGTGGTAATAATGTGTCTGATAACTAAACATGTTTCAATGTATGAGAAGTAATAGTTTACAAATCTGGGAGGATGAATGTGATTTAAGACTGATTTTATCTGCTGATGGTGGAATATTTTATTGCAAAGACGATCAGATTCAGGAGCATGTGAGCATTACCAGTTGATTTATTCAGGGATTTTATTAAATATTTGAATTTCACATTTGTTTGTGACACTTTATACACACTTATGTGATTCTTATTAGATCTTTAGTTTATTTAAATAGATTAAAATTGCATGAATGTACATTCATATCTGAGTTATGTCATGTTTCTTAATGGCTTGTTAGTCTTCTGTTGAGTGTTTTCTCACTGTGCTGCTCAAACCCTGATGAATGTTGAATGAATGATCTCCGTTCCTCTGATGATCTCCAGTGTACGTCAAATCCTCCTCCGAGCAGCATGACAGATTGATTTGCATCGAATGAAAGGGAACCTGCAGGGTGAGAATGGAATAAAGATGTTCTCCCGCTGGAGGAAAGTGAGAAAATGCTCGTTTCAAACACTCCACCAATCCAGAGAAGAAAAAGCTCACAAAGTCGGAGTGCAACTGAATGCAGGGCTTCGTATGAGCACCAATAATTGTTAATCTGCTACCACTCAAAAGAATAATGTGCAAAATGAGCTCAAGAGAAAAATACTCCCCGCATAATAACCTGTATGTCACAAATGTACAATGTGAGACAATAATACCAGTTTCTGTAGAGAAACAATCCTTTGAGTTGTGCCTAAAGGCTATTGGACACTTACATTATTACCTACTTATAGAAATATTCATGTATTGTATGTTATGCATGAAATAATAATTATTATTATATATTAGATTATTATTTGATAAATATATACAATAAATATAAACATTGCATATGCATTAAAATCTAAAAAACATTTATAGATAGAACATAAAGCCTATATATATATATATATATACAGTATATACACAGTGTGTGTATATATATATATATATATATATATGTCACAAATGTATAAATAATACATATGCATATAAATAATGACAATGTATAGCCTACATACATTTCATATATGAATTTCATATATATAGGCTATATATATTTTTTTATCTAATATAGTAATTTTATATTTTGTATAGTGTGTAACTAGACACTGCATATAAAATTCTCATATTATAAATTGTATTATATAATATACATTTCATATTCTATATACTGTATAATCAATGCATATGCATCAAAATATGAAGAATATAAAATATAGTATAAATAATGCATATAAATACTGAAACTATGTATAAATTTCATACTCTATATACTGTATAAATAATGCACATGCATAAAATTGCATTACACTTATTCTTAAATATTCTTAGATTATTTCTTTAAATGCATTGGCTATGACATAATGACACGTTTAACTCATTGCCCACTGTAAACTTAAACGACTTTTGTCGTAGATAATTACATATTGAGACAAAAAAAAAACTGCAGCAAGAGAAAGTGAGTGAAATGCAGAATAATTGTATGTCATGAGAGACTGTGTGTGTGTTGAGGTTAATAACAGCTGGTTAAATATGTGAGAATAATTGCAGGCTGTGATGTGTTAATAGCCTCTGTACAGGTGTTGAGCCACTTATGCGAAATTATCTCTCAGTCTGTGTCTCTCATATCTGTCTCTCTCTCTCCTCACAAAGACAGAGTTTCTCATTGGGTGTGTGTCTTGAAGGGGTGGCGGGGCTCCTGCATAAAGAGCTTTTTTTCTGGTGTATGTGTGTGTGTGTGTGTGTTGTAGGTGGGTCAGGGGGTCATTAATAACTAATTAGAGGCTCAGAGCCACTCAGGCTCCTATAAGTGGAGCTGATCCGGAGGGAGCGCATCAGTCGCACTCAGACCCTGCGCCGCAGCACTCATGGGTTCGGTTCTGGCGCTGAAGTCCAGGTTCAGGTCTCAGCTGTGTGAGATCATCACCTCTGATATCCTGCACAGTTTTCTGTACGGCCGATGGAGGAACGTGCTGGGAGAGAAGCCGTGCGAGGAG